ATTATTTCTTCTAAATTGCACAAAATATCCCATGACTTTAAATAGAAGGTCTTTCCTTGGATAACTTTAACAAAAGTTACAATTTGCTTGCAGTTTTGAAATGATGTTTCTTTAACCATCAAAATTCTATCACAATTGACTAACGTAGTAATAAAATTGCTGTTTTCCGTTTAAAAACTGCAAGTTGATTGGCTATACATTTTTCGAACCAAAATCTCGGACCGATTTCTAGCAACATGGATCATGGATGTTGGACTTAAAAATTTACTATACACATGATGTAGAGATGGCGCCACACGAAGTATAATATGTATAAAACTAAAGCCCCTTGCACAATGGANGGAATAGCGATAGCGATAGAAGTAACAAAAGTTTTAAAGAGTTTATATTTAAAAATAAAGGTAGGAACAGCGCAATCTAACATACAAAACTACACATGTATCAATGCAGATCAGAAAATCGGAATAAGCAATAGCGATAAAATTTCCGACAAGTTGGAATTTTGTGTTAAAAAGTGTGTTATTTCTATCGCTATCGCTATTCCTTCCATTGTGTAAGGGGCTTAAGCGATGTATTATACTGTACAATACCATGTATAATACAATGTAAAATACCTCACGTATAATACGTGCCCAACTCTGGTGTAGGTTCTAAAACATATATGTAATACTCCTATATTGCTAGTCGCGTATTTTCGCAATGAGAGGCACGAGGCCCGAGAAAGGGAGACGCACGAAGTCCAAATATGGTCATAGATAGTCGAGCGTCATTATGCGCAGGCGCGTCTACTAAGCGAGTGCGAGCGAGACAAAGCATTAGAAAGTGAGAGAAAGAACGCGAGAAAGAGAAATGCGCAAGCGTGCTTGAATGTTCACTGCATGCGCACAAAGCAGCTGGAGAGAGAGGCTACTATATTGTCTGCACCGTAACATGTGGCTTCAGGTCGGCACCGTACTAGCAATATAGGAGTATTACATATATGATTATAAGTAATTACCTCTCAACCGTTGTACAACTGTTGAGTTGTCTGAACGCGCTATGAGGTTGTGTGTGCATCCCCTTTATGCTACCGCGTGCAACCAAGCGTCGGAATCCGGCATCACTGGTGATAGTGACTATGAAAAAATCGAAGAAACAGTGAAAATCCTTTCTAATAAAGAAATGGAAGACGACATGAATGAGTTTTTACATGATGGTAACTCTGTTTCGAGTGGATGGGCAGATGCTATGCAGAAGATCTTAAAAACAAACAAGCCAAAGAGAAAGAAAACTATTGTACTGTCTAAAGCAAAGAAGTTGTTTGTTGTAAAAGACAAAGAAAAAAATATTTCCTTTGAAATTGATGGTGCTCAAGATGAGAAGAAAACAAAATCAGAAAAAGCTAGTGCAAACATAAAGAAAATTTCACAATTTAAACAAAAATCAAAGGAGAAAACTCTTGGTATAAGAATAAAACCATCTATTACAGATTGTACACATGAGAGAATGTTACAGAAGATAGCTACAAAGTAATTTATACTACACTTGCAAAATAATTTACATATATTTTTTTAATGTTTGTTACTTAATTTGCAATAAATCTTTTTTCAGAGGAGTTGTGCAACTGTTTAATGTTGTAAGGCAGCAACAAGCAACAATTAGTAAAAAAATATCAGAAGCAGGACCATTAGAAAGAAAACGTGAGAAAGTACTTAAAAGTATTAACAAAAATACTTTTCTTGATCTTCTTATGGGCAATAGTAAAAGTATATCAATTAAAGATGTTGATAAAATGAAAAACTCTCAACAGACAAACAAAAATGAAAATAAGGTACAGTTTTTAATAGTTAGCCAGAGATTCCAGGTTTGACTCTTGATTAAGGTGTTTTTTCCACAATATTTTAAAAATTAGGGAGGTATAAATTAAGATTTCTCATATACATGATGCAAGTATAGTATCTTATATGAATTTAAGAATTGAAATTTTAATTCAAATATACATGTATATATATATATATAAATTTATTTATTTATTTTACAACAAATATCCAGCGGAAAGCTCTCATGACCGTTTAAATTCTTGCGTAGTTTGATAACAATTTTTATTTGAGCCACATGAATTTTATAGTATTTAATGATAAAAATTTTTATTTAATAACATCAATAATATAACTTTAATAACATTAAACAATCTGCAGTTAAACTCAAATTTTTTTAAATACATTAATTGATATATAATTTATGTTTATTAATATTGTATATATTTCTACAATATAATGTACAGTGCATAAAAATGAAAATATTCTAAATTTTAAAGACCGAGAAAATCTGGAGTGTTCTTCATGATGACTTCATTATGAAAGCTGGGTTGAAAAACTGGGACAAGAAGGAAGATACAGAAGAAAATTCTTCACTACCTGAGGAATTGAATAATGATGATGATAACGATGATGAGTAGAACTAAAAATTATTGTACATTATCTTAATTAAATTGACTAAATACACATTTTATTACATTTATAAATATGTAAATATATATTAAAATTGAATTAAATATTAGAAATAATTTAATAATATATGTATTTATGTAATCTACCACATAATCTACCAAGGGTTTGCCTTCCATATGCTTTGCGAGTTAGTTTATTAAATTTTCATAAATGTAACAACATATGTACAATATATAAATTCTATATACAGGGTGTTCCAAATAAAGTATTACAAGCTGTTTTCTCTGAATCTAATAAAGATATCATTTTTTTAAATTAAATCGTTCAGTAGGAGTAATCTTCTAGTGTGTAACAGATTTTGTCTAGAAGCAAATGCTATAAGAGAAAGAGGGGTCACCCAACATTTTTTTAAATAGAAAGCGGTATTAATCTTTGTTATTTTAATAACTCTCATCAAACTAAATAACATTTACTTGAACCATTTTTTTATTGTGCATAATTGCGGAGTTTTCGCGAAAAATTTGTTGCAATGAGAAACATTGAGAAAGCAAAAAGGAGAAAAAAACGAAAAATATCGTTAGTGGTTTATTTTCTTTTTATGGAGTTACATAAAATACAAAGTAACTGTTCTTACAACTGCAGAAGACATGAAAATAAATGCGTGTGCATCGGTTACTCCTTCAATGTTATCAAATGTGAGCGAGTATTTGTAAAAGACTTCATAAGTGCTTAGCAGTCCAAGGACATCATTTTAAACACTTAATAAAATGAAACTACTAACGACAGTTTTCGTTTTTTTTCTTTCTTTTTGCTTTTCCAATGTTTCTCATTGCAACAAATTTGTGCGAAAACTCCGCAACTATGCACGATAAAGAAACAATGGTTGAAGTAAATGTTATTTAGTTTGATGACAACTATTAAAATAACAAAAAATTAATACCACTTTCCGTTTAAAAAAATGTTAGGCGGCCCCCTTTCTCTTATAGCATTTGCTTCCAAACAAAATCTGTTACACACTAGAAGATTAGCCCCACTGAACTATTTAATTTTAAAAAAAGTTTTGTTGATATCTTTATTAGATTCTGAGAAAACAGCTTGTAACACTTTATTTGGGATACCCTGTATATATTTTTTTCGTTAAAAGAAATGATATATTTTGTATTTGAGGAAATTGTTTTTAGATAAAATTGTATCTTGTAAAAGAGATTCTATCTTTAGTCGGATTTAAAATTAAAAAAAAAACAAAATAATAACTAATAACGTAACGGAAACTCCGTTGTCCACTATTTATGTAGCAATCTAAATAATCTCTAGGAAGGCACAGTAATGTACATATACATATATGTACATATACATATAATATATGTACATATACATATAATATATGTATATATACATATATTTCAGATTTGTTTCGGTTGATTTTTCTTTTTGATGCACGATAACAATGACAACGCGTACAGTTTGTATTGTTTTCTAGTTTTTCATATGACGTGTATATAAGAAGTGTGTATGAAGCCATTGGTGTTTTGAAGTACGATTTATTATTTTTCGTATTCGCTATTGTTCTGGTTGTAACAAATATCCAGCTTTTTGTTTCTTAAAGTATTGTTAATGTGGCGATACATTTCATTCAGCCTTCTTTCTTCTTAATATAAACGTTGTCTTATTTTTCTTTCTGTATTACTTATTGTAATTATTATAGCTTTATCGTTTCTTTTCGTAAGTGTTAGAATTGTTAAGTGCATTTAATATGTGGTTAGACCCACTTAAAAATCGCAAAATTGCTACAGTCTACAAATGATGCAAGAAGTAAACAATCGTTCAACAGTAAGCTTAATTACATATAAAATACAAGAAGAAAGAAAACTATATTATAAGTTAAATTTTATTATATTCGTAGAACTTAAATGCGCTTATAAAATCCTGGACGGATTGAAAGAACTTTGCTAATAATTCATTTTTTAACTTATTATTTTTGATGATGAATCATTAAATTGAATTGATTGAATCATTAAATTCCTACAGGAAAAACGTTTTTATGTTGCAAAGTATTTGATATTTATGTTTTTTTTCCAACATGTGTCAAAAAGAATTTTGTGTAGTATAATTTATTGAGTAATTTTTTTCATTTCTAGTTAGATCTTTTCTCAAAAAAGATTTAGGTTGTTTTTTTTATATAATATAATTGCTATGTGCAAAAACGTTTCAAGATCTTGTCAAAACATCGTTGTTCAATTTTAAACGATACGATTATTTACCGAACATATGTGCTTTTAATCATTTAAAATATGACAACTTGATTTGACTTAAAGTGTCTCCTTATTAGTTATTTAAAAATTACGCACAATTAATGTAAATTTCAAATTACACTCTGCTTTCACGAATATCAGCGAGCGCGCCGAAGTTACCAGCTTCTTCGTCGTGATATTGAACCGCTTCAGCTTCGTCCTGATTTCTATTTTCATCGCTTAGCCGTCTGTTTCTTGCAAAATATCTGGAATCGTTGTCAACGTTACGGTTGATCTCATGCTGCATTTGGGAGCGATCCAACCGCAGATTCCTGACGTTCTGATCCTCGCGATACATTCCAAGTAGTCGCTGGTCTTCGTCGACGCGCCTATCTCGCGCAGCCTCGATTTCTTCGGAATCGGACAACCTGACGAAGATCTGATGCGGATCTCTATCGTGATTCAATGAACTCCTGCGGCTATCTTGGCTCAACCTGGAGGCGCTACGAGCGCGATTCCTTGTGTTCATTAGCTCGTTACCGATAACTGAGTGATTATTGCGTCCGGTGTTACATTGGTTCTCGTTTTCGTTGAGCGGAACACGGAACAGCATCTCGTCGTGGGATGTGCGAAAAGTCTCGAGGTTCGCGTCGTTGCTGGAAACTCGCGGCATTGTCTCTCGGCTGAGTCGATAAAGACCGAGCTCGTTGTCCACATAGAAACTGTCGAGCGGATTACTAATGATGGACGGATTGCGCGAGACATTCCGCCGAGGATAACTCTGTAGACTAGATAAACTCGTCACTGTAGCGTAAGGATGATATCCGGGCATTGAGTTTAGCGGATTACTGATGATGTGCGGACAGCCATCCAAACTCTGCATTTCGATCTCCTCCTTGCCATCGCGGCAGTAGCCGTGCATGTCAATTTCATGGGGTAGATTTGCAAATCTAAAAATTGAGGTTTTCGTTTTACGAAAAAAAATATATATATTTACGTTAAAAACTATATAAAGTGCGATCAAAGCTTGAGTTGAAAATCACTTGTCATGTTAATGATAAGAGAACGAATAAGAAAACTGAAACAAGTAAAATATATTGCTACCTCTTATGTTGGAGGTGAAGGAACAATGTACCTGTGCAGAAGAATGTCAGAATAAGAGGGAGGCATGTCGGTTTCTTCTTTGCCATAAATACTTTCATAAGTAGGCGGCGGGAAACAACCGACAGATCCTAAGCTATCTTTACTTGGTGTTTCGGCATCCATTTCGAGAATGCTACCTTGACTGCTCTGCAGTTGATGTCGATTCAAGCTTCGTGGATTTCTCTGTGCTCGTAACACATTATCACCTAGTTCTACTAAATCTAAACCTGTTCAAAATATAAACAAATATCAAACTTTTAATTTTATAGATTGAATCCATTCAAAGATACGAGCAATCAAGTCAAGTTTTACCTGTGGGATCGGTTTGGAATTGCGTGAAAATTGTGCCGTCAACGACGAGCATTCTACCGTGTGGCAAAAGGATGATCGTCGGCGTTGCCACCATAGCTTGGTCGCTACCTCCGAATCGCGGATCCGGCTCAGGATCCTCCAGACGACAGCAGCAGTACTTTCTGCATAGAGATCGGCAGAAGGGCGCACCCCAGCAGCAATACGCGAAGATGAAGCAGAGAACAGCAAGCATCACCAGAAGTGCGGCCACTCCTTGACCCTGTTGAGCGGCGGCGAGAGTCGGACCGCCGGCGACACCGACACCGACGCCGAGTCCACCGCTGCTACTCATTTCGCCTGCAATTAAAATAATTAAAAAATAGTAACAAACACTTTACTTGACACACATACGCACAATTATCAGAAAGGTAAATTTAATTAATTAAAACAAATTAAATATTCTTTATATATTTAAAATAGTTTTCTTCTTATATTTCTTTGTCTTTCTGTAACTACTCAAGGTACAAGTTATATATTTCCTGTTTATTGTATCAATACATCTTATCAGTGACAAAATATGTTGCGTAAACGCAGAAGAAATCGTTATCGTGTATGAACTCTCTCTTATGCTAATAGATCGAATCTTATAGTTTTCGCTCTGGTTTTGGACGATAGACATCAAGAGAAAGTAGTGCCTTTGCGACGATCATAATACGTTACGTAGCCACAACAAGAGAGTTGAACACAGCACTGGACACAGTTGATCAATCGTACGCTCAGATGTAAAGTTTTATAATTGCCTTTAATTTTTACAGCAATTCTTTTTGACGCAATCTCTTTGTCGAAAAGTTCATCGAATCGTGTTGATGTTACAATTGCTACAACTGTAGATTTCCGTAGAAGCGAGAGTTTTCCTCTTATGTTAAATAAAGATATATTAGTAAAATAAACGTGTAACCTGATAAGAACAGGTTTTGAAAGAGATTAAGAATATAGTGGTATAAACAATTTAATTGTGTGATATCTTCATTTTAAAATATTTTATCAAGATTACGGAGCATTATATAATATTGATATACAGAAATAATTAATTAACATTTGAAGATATTTTTCGGGTTTGAACCGCATTAGTATTATTTTTAGACAGGCTGCTCTTGAAACCCTGATGAAGTGAGCTGAAATGTTCACGAAACATCGGTATAAAAATGACACTAACGCGAATTTTTTTTCAAACCTGAAAAACTTCGAATGTTAATACAACACACCGCGAAAGTATCAAATATCAGAAATGATTAATATTTTATTTTGTTATCACTATCGATCTGTTATTATATATAAAATTGATATAAATATTATATAAGAAATTTATCGCAACAATAAATATATTATAAATTAAGTAATGCTTGCTTTTTAATGTAATCTACTAATGTATTAATTATATGTCCGCACACATTAATTGTATTTATATTTTTTCGATTACCGCGTATTGCGGAGTATAACTTATACGAGAGCGCGATCTAATTTGTGTTAAAACAAAAAAACCAAAAGCAAGAGTAAAATTAAGGTTTTATAGAGATTTTTATGCATTATATCTATTAAGATAAATAATATATGTAATTGATTATATTTAATGTAATATGTAATAAAATATGTAATTTTTTTCTTACAATTGTTTTTTAGAAGATCAATAATATGTACTATAATTATTCATTGACTGATTTTTACATCAGATACACACATATAAATAAATCACTATTATTATTATTTTTAGCAAGCTCAATTTGTGTGACCTATATTAGAAGTTACATCTCGGTTTACATCAATTTTATTCAGAATTTGTATTTAACGTGTGGTTTATCGCACAAACAATATTTGATATATCTAACAATTTACCTTGAGCAGTAGTGTTGCGAAGCCAAGTGATTCCCGTGGTGGTTGCTGTGTCCGTAACTCTGCGCGCTCCGTAAACCATGAAAATGATTAAAGTACTTGTCAGATCCCTCGGCAAAAGAGAGAGAGAGAGAGAGAGAGAGAGAAAGAGAGAGAGCAGACGACTACGTCTCTCCGAAAAAAACGGCCGCGACAACGACGACGATGTGATTACATCGACGACGCGCGAGCTTCAGCACGTGGACCGATGACAACCGAATGCGCGATAAACGATACATTTTTTTGCGCGACAAGTTGGGTGCATCGAGTTCGCGTACGTCTTCTCTTCTTATGACCCCGTTATGACCTCTGGCTAGTTTACGTCCGCTAAGTTGTTACTTCTTTGGAGTATTGACATTATTATGCTTCGTTTTGTATTGAAAGGTCTTTTGTTTTGATAATTTTGAGATTAAAATGTCCTGCAATCTCGTAATATAATTAATAATATATTGTGGTCAGTTGTAAAAGTATCATTCAATTAATACCACTTGTGTTAAATCTTGCTTCACTTATAAGTTGCATTATGCATTTGTAACAATTTTAAAGAAAACATTGTTTTAGTTTTTCACAAATTTCGCGAAACAGTTATGTAACGTAAAATTTACACGTTGGCGCACAAACATGTTTCGATTATACTAACATTATCTCAACAATTAGCTCTATCTCATTTTCTTTTGTCAAATTTAATCCGCACATTAAGCACGTATTCGATATCACACTCGCGCTGATTTTTCAGTCAAGTAGAAGCTGATATACTGCTATTGCCGAGATACTCTTGACCCATTTCTGCAACGTCCCCACTTTGCGTGTATCAACCTGATGCCGCTCTTCTCGGTTATCTTTATTTCCCAATCGTCGCGACCTCACTCCCGTGTCTCTTGTTCCTCTTGTCAATCTCTGTATTTGATACAGATATTATACTACCTTAAAACATGGCGCCATTCTTCATTTCCGATTTATCTTGACTTATTCTTTCAACGTTTCTTAGCCGGCTCCTTGTCTCAGAAGACATTTTTTCTTCTTCGTCTAAAAAAACTACGAGTCATAAGTAGTTCTTTTTAATCCTTAGAAAATAATATTTTAAATTTTTCAAAGCATCACAATTTAGTTGTTTTAGACATAAAAGAAAACTTTTAGTCTAATCTTGCCACATATGTACAAATATAGACTGTATCACTCAAAAACTGTTTCAAAAATTTTGCAAATTCTTTGGATCAATCTGAAGAATATATGTTTTGTTTCTGTAATTCGATTGTCTGCTACTTTTCTTCTTTCAGTAATTCTTTGTTCCTCGTCCTTTGAGAAGTTTCTTTGTATTTTTGTTGTCTAGCCTCTTTTTTTTATATAGAATCGTTGACATGCCTTTCGATCCTTGACGTTATCGACTGCGAGCCAAGACACGCCATATTATTTATTATCTATACTATCGAACGTTCACCGCCACATTTGACGACGCACCAGAAGATGATGCTGAGAAGTTGTTTCTTCGATGTGAACATTGTCTCTCGATCGGAGTTCAATTTTTACTAATACTTTTGCCAGCACTAATTTTTTTCTCCGTTGATTATTTCACGCGATATGTCATGATAACGTATACTTACTCTATTAGGTATGTAATTAACCGTGTAAATATAACTATTATCAGAAAATTAGCAATCAACATACATGTATCTTTCGTGTTGTATTACGCACTTATCGTTTGAAGAACATTATCGTTTTTGGAGAAATATTTTATAACAGATTTAACAACAAAGTTCTGTAAATAGCTGAAGTTGGTTTATATATCATTCAACAATGAGAAATGTATCAACAATGTAATCGGTCAATATACTTGCATTCCAAGCAATTAAAACTTCAGCTCGCGTTCTTTAAAGTGGAATGATTCTAAAAAAAATTCTAGTATATTCAGATATACCTTCAATCACACATCTAAGCTGTATTTACGATTTTATTTGCTCCGCATACATGAGAGCTGTCCATCTTACTCTTTCTTTTTTTTCTCAAAATTCTCTTATAGTTCACGTACATTCTGCAAGAATTCGGAAGTATCTATTGTTTAATATCGAGTCAACGTTTTATAAAGCGTGTTTTTTATCTCTGTATTTGGAATTATGTTTGTATACGCGTGTTTTCTTCTTTTATTTTTTAAAGATTCTTCCCTACAAGAGGATATTCTTAGCTCAAAAGAGACGCACTAATCAGTTTTTCCTCGCGTTTCACTCTCCGCGAACGCATCATCGGTTTAAACATTAGTCTCGCGTTGCACACACATCGGTACTCTCACAGGATGTCGCGTATCGTAATTGATAATTGATATATAATATGCGTTTTATATCTGTCCCGTAAGTCAATACTGCGACGAAAACTGTAGATCGGTATCACAACACGACGTCGGTAGCGAGAACGATGCCAGGCTAGTAGGGCTACCTACTACCCTCTCTATAAAGCTGGGAGGCGTAGCAACCCCGTCGCAATTCGTGCTGTTCGTTTCACACTGCGCCGTCGCTGGTGGTTTCGTCTCAGGCAGTACGATATTCCATCTTCATCATTGTCATGAGAAATACATATCTCGGCACATGCATATTGACAAAAGATGAGAATGCAAGAAAAAAAAATGAAATACGCAATTCTAATTTCTTACATAACACAATTTGAAAATTTCAAAACTGATAGTAATCGACGAAAAAGCGGATAATTTTCCAACATATAATAATACACCTGCAATTCATTAAATTCATTGAAATAATTTGTGCAACTTTCCGTAGTATAGCAACGTAATTATTAAAAATTAAAATAATTAAATTGATAAATTTTCTTAATTATATTTGATTATATGCTTGTCAGAAACGTTTAAATGTTTTGTTACATATATTTTGTCTAAGTATATAAATACAATCTGCGAAAAGTAGATTTAGTTCAACAAAAGGAGCGATAGCAAGTGCCAGATTCTGATATATAAGAGCAGCAGGAAATGAAAGGTCAGGGCAACTGCGATTACCCTGTGTTGTCGTCACTGCGGACCTATTTTTTACTATAACAACAAGCCAAGTGCCCTGACGACGACGCCGACGACTGCGCAACATTCGTCTGCGGCGTTACGATAGTGATGTCGTACGTGGGCAGAAGACGGAAATAAATTTGTCTTGAGATAGTTCGACAAAAGTACAAAGCACAATCAAAAACGCAGTAGCGTCAAGTATCTTTTTTCTTCACTCATATATACATTTTATACTTACACTTACACACACACGATATTCGACTTTCTCTCCTCTCTCTCTGTGATGTGTGTGTGTGTATATATATGTATATTGTCACCTAAAGGTTAGTGTTTATGTTTACGGAAAATCATATAGAATACTCTGGTCTTCGGGTAATAACAATATATTGGTCTTTTTTACATTTTTAATGTTTTTCGAATTTATTATATACTGTAAAAAAATACTAGAATTCAAAGACATACAAGAATCGATATTATGTTTTATAATACTTATAAGAATCCAATTAATCGGACAATTTGTTAATAAAAATTCTCAAAACATACACACACATACACCAAAACTGGAAAGCAGACTGATCTAGCGAAAAGATTACTTACAATGTACAGGCACGTAATATACGAATAATTAACAAGCGTTTCTCACATAAAAAGCGGGTCAAGCAGATATCGATTTTATTCAAATTTACGACTTTACTTAATAGTATTTGTGAAGATGATGAGAATAAGTTTACAGTTGCACTGAATTTCAACGAATTTGCAAACAGATCTCTACACAATTAACAAAAAGATTTAGTTTTTTTAGAAGTTTAAAACTAACAATAAATTGATAGTTATTGGAGCTTTACGCTGGATGTTCGTTGCGAAATGAACATGTATATTTTATTTATTTTGTAACAAACATCTAATGTAAGGCTTCAATGACTATTAATTGTTAGTTTCAGATCTCTAAATCTGTTTCTCAAAGTAATTACAACTTACAAATCTAATATAAGTGTAATCTAATAATTTTGTTTCCTTTTTATTGCAGTATTTTTTCTCTTTAATAACTCTTCCTAAATGTATAAACTATATTGTATATAATTTAAAGAAAAAAAAATTGTCTAAAGAACTTGTTGCAACATTGTAACAAATGATAAATATTTTGAAAGTCGAAACTAATTTATCGATTTCGTAACTTAATATTCTCTCTCTCACATAATATATACGAATATTACATATAATTATTTAATGTAACGTAGTTGCAGAACTACCTGTTGTCAGAAGATTTTCTTAAATCTGACATTTTCCTACATAAAACTATGATATATAAGATCCCATTTTATTATATTTTACTATATAAAAAATGTATGTATACATACATATATCATATATTATATACATATATATATACATATATATAAATAATATACATACATACATACATATATACATATATATAATTGTATATATACACACACACAAATATTACAAATATTTTAAAAAAACAAATACAAGATCACTATCACATATTGTTTTGCACATATTTGTTTTTTAAGTGACAATAAATTATATATTTACTTGTCAGGCAAAATATCAAGTAGCCAACATTTCCAATTTAATATCTCTTCTTGAGTTAACTCATGATCGCTCTTCAGTGGTACAAATTTAACGTTTACCCCGAGATCTATTAAACTCTTAGCAGTCTCTTCACCCCATTCAAAATCAACCAGAGTGTCTGTCATACCGTGATATTGAACAAACGGCACTTTACTATCTTCTGGAGATATTTTTAAATGCTGAAATTATAATAATCAATAATAAATCTTGATGAACTAAGCACAATATTAATGCTACGTATAAATAGGTATAATACGTATAATACTTATTTTGATTATATTATTTTTATTTTATTATATAAAGTTGTATAAAAAATATTATTCTTTAAGTTTTCTGAAATTTTCTTTAAGTAATCACATATAAGACATCATATTGTAGTTTCTTACAAAAATATGCTTCCTATTTATGTATATACCAAGTGTATTTGATAAATATACCTCATAAACTACAGATCCTCTATTCAAAAAAGAAGACATGGCAAAACAACCAGCTACAGTTGATTTATATCTATATGCTACATGCAATGCGAGACAACCACCCATTGAAAAACCACCTACTATTATTCTATTAAGTGGAATACCATCAAAAACTTCTTTATCAATCAATTCTGATATATTCTGACACATAGAGTCAATTGACTTTACATCTTCTGGTACCTGATTGGATATTGCAGCTCGATCAAACCACACATTCTGAATCTGAAGCAATAAAACTTTATAAGAAATTCTACAAAAATGTGAAAATTATTACTAAAAAAAGAAAATAATATATGAAAACAAATGTAACTTTATATGTATTGATTACAATATTCTCTAATACTTGCTCCTAAGAGTTTAAAGTGTAGCTTTTAAACATTAATACTAAATAGAAATAGTTTGCCAGAGAAGTACATGTATATATAGAGTTAGTTATATAAATCATATCTCTCTTTACCATGCCTCTGCTGGGTGTGTAAGGCTGACTTGGTGCCGTTGGATAAATTAACTTTATGTGAGGAAACTGGAGCTTTCCTCTATTGAGAATATGAATCCATTTCTTTAAATCATCTCCTGTACCACCTAAACAATTAATCTTTAGTCTGCAAAGTGTTTTTGGTATCTTCTATCTGCAAATCAGGATTGTTTATGTCTCATACTGTATTTTTCTAAATATTGAAGTCATAGAAAAATTCAGAAAAAATTTATATAGTATTTCATAGACATATATAGTATCTTTAAACCTACTTTACAGATCAATTAAAATATAAAAAAACAAATTTTTTAAATATAAACAAAGATAGATTTAACGCAAGTAGATTTTACGTGGACACAAATGACCTTAGTTTACAAAGAAATAAGTGAGACATAAACATACCCAGCAAACAATTTCTGTTTTTGACAATTTCAGCACAGACCTTGGTAACAGAAACTGTTTGCAGAAATGCTACAATACGGAAACACTGCTAAAATTGTTAACACACAGAAAGAAAAAATGCAACAATTCTGTTGATAAATACATGAGAATATTGCAGCCAAAACGATTCCATATATGTCAGTGAAATTAACAACAAATAGATGGTCGATTGCAAGCAGATCTGCTTTTAGGAATACTGTGGCCAAACAGTCCGCAAAATTGTACCAGAAATCTGTTTACGACAAAAGTCGGGTCGATCTGTTAAACGCATTGACAACAGGTTGCCACCAAACGCCAAGAACGTCTGTTTGTGTATACGTGCGGACTGTTTGCAATTTGGCGCCAACAGACAATGACCAAACCTATTCCGGATTTTGGCTTCGCTTTACTTATGGCAGACTCTGTCATCATTTTGGTCGCATTTTAACATTTCACATGTTGACAAACATGGTTAACAAACCATATCCTACTGAGGACACAGATGGATATGGTTTTGTAACCAAAATGTTTGCTGGGTACAATATTAATGAATAATTCAAGTAATAATCTATAATGCACTTTATCCATTCTCGTTTTTTTTTTATTTATTGGAGTTTAAAAGACTTATTTTTACCGGAACCATGTAAAAAGAATACAGTGGCAGTATGTTTTCTTGTGGCTTGCACAATGTCTATTTGCGAAATGCTTCCAAAAATCTTCGAGGCCATTTTCTATTAAGTTTACTTATTCTTTAACCTGCTTTAACCATCAATCTCCGATCATGGGTCGTTGGTTGGTTTGGTGCATATATGGCTCAAACATGGAGATAAAGGAGGGAGCATTAAGGTTTGGTTTGGTGGTTTGGTGCATATGTGGCTCAAAGGACCGACTCAAGATAGTCCATACGCCATTCTAAGCTTGAATAGTGATTTCCTTGGTATGATCACCGTTAGACGGTTAAGGCTGTGTTCAGTTAAGCAAGATGGAACGAACTAATGCAGGAAATGCAGGAAATACAGGAATTGGAACTAAAGAGCCGTCTACAATAGAGAGTCGTAGGCCGTAACAGTAAGAAATTGACCAATCACAATCGATTATTCTTCTGTACTTTGTCTGTGATTGGTCAATTTCTTACTGTTACAACCTACAACTCTCCATTGTAGACGGCTCTTTAGTTCCAATTCCTGTATTTCCTGCATTTCCTGCTATAGTTCGTTCCATCTTGCTTAACTGAGGGCAATGTCCCATTGAGCGGAAATATATAGCGGAACGGAATGTGCGGAACCAGCTCGACCAATCATAGCCATTCCGTTTTCTTTCCTTCGCTTTTTCTATGGTTACGATTGGTCGAGCTGGTTCCGCACATTCCGTTCCGCTATAGATTTCCGCTCAATGGGACATCGCCCTGAACACAGCCTAAATGGTTGACGTCTCCAACTGGAGGAACAAAGTACCCCACACAACTGCGCAAATCTAGGGTCTTTAAAAAAACTACTAGACACGGAGCATTGCTCCGGAGCAATACTAGCGACACGTATAAGACTCTGACTCGTTATCACTGGGAACTTAGGATTAAAGAGTGGTGGTACTGTCAGGAATACAGTCGGTCACATAAGAGCGTAGTCACGATTACTAGCGATTGGATAATAAAATTGCTGTAATTTTTTTTTCTCATACAGAGGGCAGTATANTCCTTCATGCTTTATGAAGGAAAATCAGCTGACTGTTGTTTTTAATTCGATCCTTTGTATTTTTCCAAAATGAGTACCGCTTACGCTTCGCGCTTCGAAGCAGTTTTTTTTGTGCTTGCATCCCAAAGAACCTCAAATGACTCAAACGGCT